ATATTTCAAATCACGTGTACTGTGTTTATTTGCAGAGGAAATGTCAGACATGAAACATGCATGTTTCTAGCATTGATTAAGTTTCTTGAACAAAATGTGCAAACCTTACCCAATCATGTCTTCAATGTGGTTGGACGATATTTTCACTAGATTTCGAGTGGTTTGACCTGTGGAGAGTAAATGGAATGTTTTTGTGTTCATTATTTAGTTTGGTAATTAATTTTAAAATTAGAATGATAATTATTGTCCATTTTTCGAGAATAGTGATTCCCACTAATTCATTCTACTTTTCAATTAAAGAATGACCATTTTATTTCTACTTTAAAAATAATAATAATGAATGAATGAATAAAAAAAATATTTCATGAAACGTTGCTTCACATATATATATATATATATGTTTTACAAAAATAGAATATTTTTCTGTGCAACGAAACATGGGAATGAGAATGGTCATTCTATTTTCATTCCATTCTTTGATTCATTCCATTCCCACTTTATTTCATTCAACCACACCAAACTAACCCTAAGGGTATAATTTGGATTCTCTTGCCTCATGATGAAAGACGCAAATCTAAACCTAGTTTTCTGGTCAAAATGCCATATAAAAAATCTTGCACGGTGTAGAATGAAGGTGCCAATTAATTAATTTACTCTAATTATGTATACCACGAAAATGTTGAGAAAGTTTGTAATATTCTCACGCAATCATCATAGCAATAAAAATAATAATAATATTTCACTACTTTAAGTTAGCATCGATTTTATCAGTTTTACGTTAGTTTCTACCGAAAAATTGACTGATTTGAAGGATTTAACCGTTGATAGCCTAAGTAACTAGGAACCTGCAAGAAACATGGTCACAAAAAGTCCCAAAATTTGATGTCGACTAAGCAAAACCAGAGCACTAACATGCAAGGAATTTTCAATTATTGACATATAGATGTTTCAGCACTTTTGCAATACATCCAAATATATATATATATATATATATATGTGCGCGCGCCACTCGTCACATGGCGTACTCGCTAGTAGACTAGTGCTCCATCCCAAGATGTGAAGTGGAGAGAGTACTCTCACGGGCTTGGGCAACTCTCCCATTTTTGGCCACTCGTCCTACGTTTTTGTCGATTTTGCACTATTTGATTGCTTTTTATTTTTAAAACGTATCTATACGGATAGGAAACTAATGAATATATATTAATGATTATTGTATTCTTCAATGGTAACATATCTCACCCAACCACTTTCTTTCAGTCGTCGGGAGTTGGGGTCTCGAGCCTCAGCCACCTCTTAGAAAGTTGAGGAGGTATCATTCAATTAGGTTTATGCTTTCGGTGGTAAACTAGTAATACATCACCCTGTTCATTTTCAAACATAGCCTTGTTTTGGGTGGACTCTAGGCTCCATCTAACTTTCACACCATACGCGCTTCATTTCTTTCTTGAGAACCAAACAATCAAGGACTTGCAGGTATTGACTTGATCATAGAATATTGATGACAAGTGTTGTGCCTACAACCATAAAAACACAAACATGCACACAGACACATTATTATTATTATTATTATTTTTTGGAGAACATTACATGCATATATATATATGTGTGTGTGTGTGTGTATAATGACTCTTGACTTGTACTAATTTATGCGAATTGGTGTGATCATGTAAGTATGAACCGAGCTAGATGAAACTCAGTGAGTCAGAGGGAGTCCCTCTCTCACTGATTTAATATTATTATTAGATTAAACATCTAGAATTTTTTTATAATTCTAGTAATTTCTCCACTGAATTTTGTTATTATAATACAAGGCCACACTCCTAATATAATTGTCTAGCTTCATCACTCAACAAATTAAGGAAATTTTAGATTTAAATTTTTCTCGATTGACTTCATAATATGATACCGCAGTAAAATTATATAACATCATCAATAAGAACTTGAAACTTTTTCTGTGCGCTAGACAAGTCGAACTTCCAAGGACAACAGGGAGCAACCCAACCGAACTAGGAAGGCGTTCGCCACTAGACAATTAGTGAAAATGTGAATAACTGAATATTGGGATTCTCATGTTTCTTTCTTTCTTTCTTCGTGGGTTTTTGCAAATATATCACCGTTAAAATGGGCCTGCAAATAATTTATATAAGTGTTTGGATTTTGTTGCACTGGATTGTGAGGATACAAATTTACTAAACAGCCCAAGGGAGGACTATTTAGTTTACTTGAAAAATGGGCTTGCTAATGTTTTCTTTAAAATGGGCCTTGAAAGTATTTCTACAAGTTCTTGGATTATATTTCATTAGACTGCGACCGTGCTTAAGAGCCCAGCCCAGCCCATCTAATCAGTTTCCGTATCATTTCTTATGGGCCATAACGACTTTCGATTTGCTTATCTAATTAAGGTTTTATTTATTATTATTTATTTTTTATTTTATCGGAATTTAATAAAGGGTTGTTATGATAGGCAACCGAAGGTACGAAACCAAATGTGAACCAATTTAATGTGTTTTTCTTGTATACAAAGCCCAACGAGAATATTTTGTTGCCATTCACATTACTAGTATGAAAACTCAAAAAAAATTTCTCAACTTGTGATTTATAGAAAAAATGAATCAACTTTCTTCTACCACACGTAATCATGCTCCAAAGGAAAATACTAAAGAAAGATAGAGAAAGAATGTATTGCATTGAACAGTAGAATGCTAGCAGCCATGTAATGAGAGAAAACTTTAGGAAAAGTAGGTTTCACGAATGAATTTTTTTATGAAGAAATTTTTTCAAGTAAATTATGGAAAAATATTATTTTGTTAACTTGTGATAATGCGGACATTAATTGCCTACTTACCGGTGAGTAGATAATTTTTACTGACCGTTAACGTGATCCAATCACAAAAACACATATAGTTTTTTATTTTAAAATTAGAAAATTAATAAATAAAGAAAATATATTTTTTTTTTATTGAACCACATCAACGATCACTAAAAATCATATAATCACCCGTGAGTAAGCAAATATTATATCGGAAAAAAAGACCCCATACCAAAATTCACCACTTCGGTCGATTATGTGGAAAGATGTTAAAAAGAGAAATAACTGATTTGGAGCATAATGGGGAAGTGAGATATAAAAGGCTCCTATCTGTATGGTGAACTTTGATTAGCCAAGCATACCAATGCCATGTCTCGCTCCATATCTTATCCTCTTATATATATCTTCAAACCATCTATCTTCGTTATCTTTAATTTTCTCACCAATTAATGCTGAACCTAATTTTCCTCTGATTTCCTTTTCACACTTTCATCTATCTTCTATTCTCAATTTTATTTTTGTTCTTTGGGCCAAACACTTCCTTTCAAACTAAATTGTGAGAAAAAAATTAAAAAGAATAATTGTGAGAAAAAAATTAAAAAATATATAAAAAAACAAAAAGGATTAATTTCATTAATATCTCCTCAAATTTGGTCAAATATCATATTTAAACAACTTTCGAAAATTATTATAATTCACATTACAAACTTTTAGTCTATTTTTCACCTACACCCCAAAAGTTACATTTTCAATTGTGTCATATCACTTTTTAGATGTAAAAAAATATTGTTACCCCCTTTAACTTTTTTTTAACTCAAAAAAAAGTTGTTTTATATACAGAATGAGTTAACTACTTAATGAAGCATTTTAAGTGACTAAAATATTCAACTTCTTCTCTCTTTTTCTCCCCAGTGTGTGTGTGTATATATATATATATATATAGTTCTTACTAAAACCATCTTCACTAGTGATGTGAACCAATAATAAATAGACATGTCATCTTTAATTACTAAATTTAATATGGTGGGTAAATACTCACTTACCAATAATTTATTATTGATCCACATCACTAGTAAGGATAATGTAAATCCTTATCAGTGAGAACCTAAGTATTGTTTTATATATATATATATACACGTACACACGTGTGTGTGTGTGTGTGTGTGTGTGTGTTTTGATACACTAAATTATACTACTAACCAAGTTTCCGAAGCAAACTGTACTCCACACACACACACATATATATATATATATAATTATGTGTATCGCAACAACAAAAAATATAAAAATAATAAAACCCATATGTAAAAGTGATAAGTATAAAATTTGACTGAGATATTTTTCTAATAAATAGTGATTGACAATCTTTGGGCTAAGTGTTTGCAATCTTTTAAAGAAAAACAGAAGGCGTAGTAGAGATTCTCGCCTAAACAAAATTTTCCAACTTAAAATAGCCAGCACTTTGTTTTTGTTTTTGTGCGCTTTGCCATTCTTTATAATATGTGAATGTATGCATGATTATTATTTTTTATTCTTATGGGTTTCCCATTAATTGGCTTATTCTACGCATAAGGTTCCTTACAAAATTATTCCCAACTTGAGAGTGATGGGATTATCTACAATTAGAAACAAAAACTAAGCCAAACATTTTAGTGCTGCAATTCATTAAAATAAAATAAAATCATTCTAGTGCTGCAAACACATTTTGAATCATTCAAAACAATATTTCCAATGTTTGAGTACTTGATTACCAATTTGTTTGTGCTGTTTTGAAGTGGAAAGAGAACAATTTTTTTCCAGTTTAGAAGATAAAATTAGAGAAGAAAATAATAATAATAATGTGGTCCATTTAGCAGAATTGTGAGAGAGGAGAGAGAAAGAAGTGTGATGAGTGGTGGTAATGAATGAGGGATAAAATAGTCATCATAGTTAGTTGATATTTTGAAATAACTGATATTAAAAAATTAAGAACAAAATTGTCATTTCAAAATTGTCTTTCCGTACAATTTTGACAGTGCCAAAAAAATATAATTAGATTTAAGTGATAGTAATTTTCGAGTTGTATTTTAATGTAATATTTAATTTAAGGATATAAGTGAAATTAATCCAAATATAAAATGTGACAAAATAAATTACAACAAAATCCAGGGATATCTAGCAAGAACAAAGCTGTCAGATTTATCCTTATCTGACTTTCCGACTCCAACACGATCATCATATAAAAAACGTTTATCTCTGCGTGCACAACAGTAATTATATATATATATATATATATATAGACGAAGCTTCCTTTCCTTCTTGCGGACAAGCTAAGAAACTCCCTCTTTTTCGTGACTAGTCTTTCTCTGCAAACTATCCTCTCTTCCATCTCTATCCTCCCTGCAAACCCTAGTTTTCTCTCTCTGTGTTCTTCGATCGCTCAAAAAGAACTAGCATTTTCGATCTCTTACTATGGCTTCTGGATCGTCGGGACGTAATGCTTTTGGCTCCGATGACATTTTTTGCTCGTATGAAGATTACGGAAATCAAGAGACTTCTAATGGCAGCCACTCGGATCCTGTGATTGGGGTTAATTCGTCCAAGGTAATATGCTGTTATGTCTCTCTGGTGATGAATTCATGTCTGTGTATGATTATCTTTTAGGGTTTTGAGATTTAGGTGGACTTGAAGAGGTTGTTTGTGGATTAGTATATTGATTGTGCTATATATGTTAAATCTATGCGTGTTGTATTGATTGTATCGTTTCAATGGGCTGATACGTTAGCTTTGATTGAATGGTGTGATTAGAAGTTGGATGTCAGACATGTTGGGTATGCTACTAGCACCATAATGGGTAGAGGATTATTAAGGAATAAGGATGGGTGTTTCGTAGAGAGATCAGACTTTTGCTGTGATTTCTCAAAATTATAAAATGGGTAATAAACCAGTGACTTAAAGGAAATAGTGGAAACCATATGGCACTTTGGCTGACAAAGGGACTCTTTCGAGACTCACATATTATTAGGTAATGCTATCACATGTTGTTTGGTGCACGACCATTGAAGTGAGGGCTTGTTGTGGTGTAGCAGGGTGGGTTACTCTAAATTAGAGTGAATTGTATGTTGATCGGTATTAAATTGGTTATATTTGGGAGTTCTAATTGATGATGATGAAATCTCTAAATCCTGGTAGTCGGTTTGCCTTTTAGTGCTGGTTTACATAAATCGTTGTGCACTCGATTGCAGTATTGTTGTCTCTTATCATTTCTTCACTTGCACTTGGTTCTTGGAACTATTGCCATCTATTTTTAAATTCATAACAGCTTTTTTTTTTTTTGGTAAATAATGTGGTCTTTGGAAAGCTCTGTTTAATCTTGTGAGTTAAAGCCTTGTGCTAAACTTTTAATTACAAGGGTTTGCAACATTTTGGGACCATTGAAATCTTCTTTCTGTATGACAGTTCTAGCTGTTGTTAATGAGGGTTAGATTCAAGTTTATGGGCATTTACACTGCTAGGATGAGTAAATACTATATCTGTGTAATGCTGGCTGAGTTGCTTATTATTGAGAAAATTGAATCATCTTTTTATTTACTAATAGTTAGTTCTTTTATTGGAACGAATTCAAATGGGGTTAAGATTTATTAGAATTGTGTTCCGTATTCTAAGAAATGTAAATTTTGGAGTTGGTAAAGTATATAGGTATATTATAGAGCTAAAATCGTAAAACCCCCCTCTTGTTTCAAAAAACGCCTCTCAATTATAAAACAACCCCTTAAACTAGCAAAACTATCACGTTGCCCCTCTTTCTGTGAGGACGTGAAGTTGTTTCGAAATTATAATAATGCCCTTGATAGTATATTAATATTTTATTAAACTGAAATTATAGTGTGAGAAGGACAATTTTATCATCAATGATGCAACTGTTGCACGTGATATGATCCTGTTAGTTTTAGATAGAAACTAACGGGGAGGGGTGATATGATAGACTTTTGAAAACATCAAGGGGGTAATATGATAGTTTCTTTAGTTAAGGGGTTTAGTTGATAGTTTTTGGAAACAGGAGGTTTTTTTTATTTTTTTATTTTTTTTTATTTTATGATTTTAGCCCTATATTATATGAGAAAAAAAAAAAACATCACGCAACCTGTTTTTGTAGAAGTGCTAGAAGGTTGTAATAGGAAAATGCTGTTACCTGTTGAAAGTGGGGAAACTTGCTTGTATAATTAGGTTTTTAGCAAGATTATCATTTTCTTTTTTAGCTTATAGTCAAGTTATTGGTTTGGTTGTTTAGTAATTGGATATGTTTTCAAGCACCATGTTGTTGAGTTGGATAGTCCAGTCTATCCAAGGAATCTGGACTATATTATCTCTCTTGAGCTTTCTTATCCATCATGTCTGTTATAGTGTCTATATGAATTTTGTTCCTCTTCTTAGATGGTTTTGATGATATGGATGACGGTGGTAAGTGATGTTTGTGGTACCCTGGTAGATAGAGCTTCATCTTTTCTGTTCGCAATGAATGTAAAGAGAATTTTTTGATTGCTGCGGTGAAATTTGAATTTGTCTTTGCGTGAAATGCCCATACTAGGATTAAATTCTTAAAGAGTGCTTGCTGGAAGGATTCTATATTCAAAGTTTAGACCCAATGTATGGGAGATAGGATACATTCTAGCCCTTGTGAGTTTGATTTACTTTTGATGAGATTTTACTAATATTTCAATATCATGTGATTACTTGAATTGGTCTTGTCCAGCATTTTATATTTTATATTTTTAATTTCATTTTTGGGAGCAAGGTTGTTTCGATGTCTTGGAGCCACTAGGGTTGAGTGCCATGGAAGTCGAGTTTTTTTATGGAAAGGATAGGGAGTCAAGCTGAGTAGTTATTGTAAATTGTTGATAGGCGTACCGTTTCCATAATATATCTTGGTGCTTTATGCCTTGGCCCAATTTGTTTTTTCAACTAAATTGAATGTTGAGTTTGTGATTGGATGAGCTTTAATAAATTGATATGGCTTATGAACCGGTCGATGATGGTGAATATATATATATATTTGGTATGTAATATACATGCACACGTGCACACACACACACACACTCCCACTGAAGTCCGTTGTGGGGGACTTGGGCACTCAAACTTTACTGGGAAAGTAAAGGAGATACCATTGGAGCTAAACTCTTGGTAATGCTGGTGAATATTGCTCCTTTACAGATTTATTTGAATATTTATCTCTCATAAAGGTGGCTCAGCTTAGCGTTGCATATCAATGTAAATCAGTCAGCTTCATCTAGCTTTTTGGCTAAGGAGAGGTAGATGGCCTCAGTTTTTATAATTTGAGAAAGAAGATGCTAGTTTTTTAGTAATATAATTGAAAAGTTAATTTATAATTGGATCTGGAAGCCCTTTTAGTTTTTCCTAACTATAAATAATTAGAATAAATAAAATATTCTTTTTCTGTCTCTCTCTCTCTCTTTATTTTATTTATTTATTATTACTTTTAACCGATTCATTATAGATTACTATAAACTAGGAAACTGTGCAAGGGGCGTTCTCATTGCCAAAAGAGTTTTGAGAGGCTCAACTGTAAAAGATGCCTACCAACTGACTTCTCAAAAAAGTATTTTTCCCTCCAGTGGGATTCCCTTGGGCCCTCTTTGGGGAATTTAATAATCAGGTTATTTAAGAAAAATTGACGGGTTTGAGTTTCAGTATGTTCTTTAAATCAGTAATGTTAAGTTCATTGCCTTATAAATAAAATGTCAAGTTCATTGTCTCATTGCAGTTTCTTTCTGGAAATCAATTGTTTTGTGGGGCAATTGAAACTGCAGTCCAGCGTGATATTGTTTATGGATTTTTCTTATAGCCCCCCCTTATTTGGCTAAAAAACGTTTCTCTCTTGTCATCTCTTCATAAATTGTTAAGGCACCGATTGGATTCATATGGTAGAGACATGCATTGATTGCATTCTTCTTTATTCTCAAGTATGAAAGCAACTTTTCTTTTGATCCTGATATGTAACCATTTTTATTGTCTTGAATTCATTATCAATGCCACTTTTTTATCTCAGTATTTACTTATTTTCTGTGTTTCATGTCTATAAGTGAAATTTCAAAAACATTCAGCAGCTTAGGAATACGATTTCTTATATTCTGCAGGAATTCCATAAAAGTAGAATGGCAAGATCATCACCAATTCCTGTTTCAACCTACAGTCCCCCTGAAGAACCTCTTAACCAAGATGTGATCTCTACTGTTGAAATGACCATGAAGAAATATGCTGACAATCTCATGCGTTTTCTTGAGGGAATCAGCTCACGTCTGTCACAGTTGGAATTATACTGCTACAATCTCGATAAATCCATAGGAGAAATGCGGTCTGATTTAGTTCATGACCATGGAGAGGCAGATTCAAAGCTTAAATCTCTGGAGAAGCATGTCCAAGAGGTGAGCTGCAACTTTCTAGTTCGACATTGGTATCTAGTATGATAGTATAAAATATCGTTAACTTGTTTAAATACTAGTTATTAAACTGTCCCTTGAGTGTGCTCATTTATAGGACTACTGTAGCAGTGCTATCTTAAGTTCAGGTATTATTATGCTGGGAAAAAAAAAATGATATCCTTAAGTAGCTCTGGGAAACAGCTTCGTGGGTGTGCTGAATGGTGATCTCTATGTGGAACATAGGAGCTCTTGGTTTATGGCTTGTCCGCCTTAAAAGTTATTGACTCCTTTGGAGGAAAAAGTTATCTCCTTAAATCATGTTTGCAGGACACGCTGTGGTCCTGATAATAATGCACTCTTGGCCGGACTGGGGCTCCGGCTGTACTTTGATGAAGCCGTATAAGCCTGGCTTTATTGGCAGAGAACTGTTTGCTGCCATGGCATGATAGAAGCAAGTATGTTAAAGGACAAATATGCCTTTTGAATTTAAAGAGACGTCTAATCTCTGAATTTCTCTCACCTCGCTTCTCTCTATTATTCTGGATTCGATCTGCTCTAGAATCACCATCAACAACAAAGGGGAGCCATCATCACCACTTGAGACACTGGCAACAACCCTTAGTCCTCCATTGCTGCCTTTGTTTGGCACCTCCGTCAACACATTGAGAGAGTGAAAACTACAAATAACCCTAGTTGATTCCAATTTACATAAAAAATAGAAAAATGGAAATGGAAATAAAGTGTGAATCCCCAGTTTGGTTTTTTTTTTTTTTTCCTTCCAGATATATGCCATCACTAAATCCAGAGCCCATCAATCCATTGGACAACTATTGAAGCATCCATAAATCGTAACCCATCACTAGCAAACAAAAAATCACAGCCCTAATTGCTTGTAGACTAAATGGGTCCGGTAAAAACCTTTTTTTTTTTTTTTAAAGAAATTTTGAAGCTCATTGAACATATTGTATTATTTTGGAATGTTCTGAGGGTTTAAATACTTAAGCAAAAAAGATGGTGGTGGTTCATGATGATTTTAGGGTATGAATATCGGAGAGATAAAAATTGTGCTGGTGGTATATGACTGCTAGACAGAATGTGTTGGATTGTGAATATGAGGGAGGAGGGAAACACAATGTAACCTGTGTAGGGTGGCATTCCCTGATCATACTAGAGACCTGCACATAGACGGGCGCTCACCACATGATGTCACCTGGATCATGCCTGGAAGTTACTTCTTTCTACTAGCTTCTACTGCTAGTGCTTGGACTTGGAAACAAGCTAAAGCTACCTTGAATGAACGAATGAATGAAAAGAAACCACTTTCCGAGGAATATAATGGGAGGACAGGTTAGTTTTGAGGACCCATTGATCAAAAGAAAGGGGATGGTAAAACTAAATATATTGATCGGTGCATTACCCGTAGTCCCCCTTGGGGAACTTGTTGATCTGATTCTGGAGGAGAATACCCGTACACGGTTTCAATCTCACACTGTCAAGCTCTATCAGCAAATGAAAAAGCTTATATGCTACATTATATATTACTTTTCTGGATTCTGCATATTATGCAGTGTGTCCACAGTCAACAAGAAGATGCTTAATTGAATGTCACGAGGAATCTTCTCTTTCCTTCTTTTCTTTTGTTTAAGCACTGTATGAATTTTAATATTTAGTCGTCTGCCTTTCCACTAGAACAGTTGGAGAGCCTTTACTTTCTCTTATTTGATTGAGCTTTTGGTGTGTTACCTGTAAAATGATCTGACAGAAGGCATCCTGCTTTGCTGCTGGAAAATTGGCTGTGATATCACACTTATTGATATACCTCTATCTTCTTGTTTTAAACCTTGATCTCATACAAGTTTAATTGAGGCATTTGGAAAACTTGTTTTGTGATGGCCACTGCAGGTCCACAGGTCAGTACAGATCCTACGAGACAAGCAGGAGCTGGCTGAAACCCAGAAAGAACTAGCCAAGCTTCAGCTTGCACAGAAAGGATCCTCTTCTGCAACGCTTTCCCAACAGAATGAGGAGAGAGCCGCACCACCGGTTTCTGATTCCAAAAAGACTGACAATGCGTCAGATGTGCATAGCCAGCAATTAGCTCTTGCTCTACCTCATCAAGTAGCCCCACAGCCTACACTTCCCGCCAGAACTGTTGAGCAGCCGCAGCCGTTAGCACCCCTGCCGCCTACCCAACCACAGAATGCAGTTCAATCACAAACCTACTATTTACCTCCAACTCATGTTTTAAATCCCCCCGCCCCAAGTCAACCATCTCAGGGTCAATATCTGCCATCCGATGCTCAATATCGAACCCAGCAAATGCAAGACATCTCTAGGATGACATCACAGCCAACACAAACTCAAGTAAATCAGACACCACAAATCCACACATTACCTCAGTATCAGCAGCAGTGGCCTCAGCAGCAGTTACCCCAGCAGGTGCAACCACCGCAATCCCAGACTAGACCCCCGCCAGCTGTGGTATACTCTTCATACTTGCCAAGTCAAAATGCCAACCCCTCGCCTCCAGAGATGCTTCCAAGTAGCATGCCAATGCAAGTGCAATTTTCAGGAATTCCTCAACCGGGTGTGAGCCATTCAGAAGCAATCCCTTACGGATATGGAGGGGCTGGCAGAACAGCTCAACTACATGGTTCAATTCCTTCGCCTCAGCAGCTCAAGCCCACTTTTGCAATGCAGCCAGGTGATGGGTACACAGTGGCTGGACCCCATCCTTCACTCTCCCCTGGGAATACATATACTATGTATGAAGGTGATGGGGGAAGAAGGCAACATCCACCCCAACAGTCTCATTTCTCACAAGGGGGCTATCCTCCAACAAGTGTTCCTCTTCAGAATCCACAGCCAAATGCTAGTGGCAATCTTCAGGTTCGCCCACCACAATTCGTGCGGAACCATCCTTACAATGACTTGATTGAGAAATTGGTGAGCATGGGTTACAGGGGCGATATTATTGTTAGTGTGATTCAAAGGCTGGAAGAGACTGGTCAACCTGTTGATTTCAATGCTGTGCTTGACAGGCTGAGTGGGCATTCCTCTGGCGGTTCTCAGAGAGGATGGTCCGGGTAAGCAAATCATTCCACGTCCTTAATCATCAATTTGCCACAACAACTATTGCGTGTTTCTGGTCTAATCTTCTATCAAATAAATGGCTGATGTAATATGCACGAATCTTTTGGCACTCATATCTCTGTACATCCGTGACCTTAAGCCAATACTTTTTTACTGGCGGTCATATATGATATCTGGCCATAGAGAGGCTACCTAAGCAGTTTTTTGTGAAAACTTTGAAATTGTTGGCAGTATTGTTAGACCATCAATTTCGTTCAATGTTCCCCTCATATTGCTTGTATTAAAACCTGAATTATTGGATATGTGGACAATAATTCTTTTTTATCTGAATTGTTAGAGGCTTAACTTCTTAAAGTATTCGGCAAAATGCACTTACTCTACATTTTGACACACTTAACAATCTGTTAATAGATGAACTTGGCTCCTAATTTTGGATTCCATGCCCTCCTATACATAGCATGATAAGCTCCATGTGTTGTGCAGTCTACAGTTCCCTATTTGTAGTAGTTCACTAAGCAGTAAGAATGCATTTGCCTTCTATTTATTTTCCTTTCTTCCTTTGTTTCCTTGAATTGGCATTGAGGGTCACTGGTGTGGCCTGTGGTATATCGGAATGAGTTCGGAAATACAAACTGTTGAAGTACCATGCTTTCCTCGTTATTGAATAGGTCATTTTTCAGGATTGTGATCCTAAGGGTAAGATATAAGAGTTGTGGTCGTCATGGAGGGCATGAAAGCTCAATATGCTGGTTTGAACCCGGAGAGATTTTTGGGCAAGCCTTGGCCCTCTCTTGTATTCTTAAAAATGAGCACCATCTCTGATGGGAAATTTTTGTGATAGATTGGATGATAAGGTTGGTGGTAGTCGTACCAGGCTGTATGCACGACTTTGTGCTTTCTTGGCTATCCTTTTGGTTAAATTAATCAGTGCAACTTTGTCAATGTGCGCTTTCTCGATGGATTAAGACATTAGAGTAGTGTTTAAGGAAGGTTGTCACGGAGGCTTAAAAATGAAGAATCTTTGGGCCTGTAATTCTGAGAACAGTTATAAAAAGGCTTGTTTTCATATAACTGTCTTTTATAGTTATCTGAAAACAATTTTATATTTTCTTAATTTTTTAGAATTGTTTTCAGAATTACAAACTAAGCAAACTCTTTATTATCATGTTATTTATTATCATGTAATGATTCCGGTGATCTCCCGTCTGTGCAAATATAGCGAAAGCTTCATCTTCGGTGTACTTCTGTCGGTGCAAACTCCGGCGAAGACTGAAGACATACCCATTTTGGTGATGGGGACACATCCGAGAGCACCAAAACTACAACTACTAGCTCCGGTGACGATGATTGAACCAGCGCACCTCTACTTCAGAAGTATCCAGCTTTTTCGATGATCTTCATTCTGCAGCAACAAGTCCGGCGAGTTGCAATCAAAGACCGAACATCCCTAGCATGTCTTAGTTAAGGTGAACGACAGTTTCGGTGACAGAAATCCGGCAAGCTGCAATTTCAGCAAAACCCATAACAATGAGACCCATTTTGGTGACCATCCAGTGAGTTGCAAGACATGCATGCGACTCCGGTGAACAAACGACGAGCTTTGTCCAACCTCTTTCGGTAAGCTTGGTCTGACCTAGTAGCGAGTACCGGTCCGGCGTGTTTTAGTTCCCGTTCAGACCAAACAGAGAGCCAAATCGGAAAACAATACGACCAAACTAACGGGATGTAGAGCTGTGATGTTCATGACCAAAAACAGAAAGCTTCCATCTTGAGTAGAATATATATTTTTTTAATTAAAAGCTGATGGGTAGTTTAGTAATTTCATATGCCAAGGAGAGGGTATTTTAGTAATTTCGACAGCTCCATTAGTGTATTTAACGGTCCGTCACAGATAAGGGAGGTTCATGTAGGATATTTTAAAAAATAGGGGAGGTCTGCGTAATTTCTGGAACAGGAAGGGTACCGCCTATAATTATGGCAAATCATAGGGGAGGTCTGTGTAAATTACCCTTTATTTTAACACTATGCTGGGTAATGTTCTATTTATGAGTTTACACCACTTTTATTTTGATTTTGCGTCAATTTCGTTTCGACTTTGCACCACCTGTACTTCAAGGTGGTAACCGTTTCGATTCCAAATTCAACTGTTTATTTCAAAATCGCATCACTTATGCTTTTAGAGCATCTCCAATGGCAGTCTTTGCAAGAGTCATGTCAACGTTTTGAACTCACGTCAGTATTTTGGACTCTTCAAATTTTAGTTATCGCATGTGCTCTTCAAATTTTAGTTATCACATGTGCTTCAATGTTGCATTTTCACTCTAAAAAATATTAATATTTTTAATATTTTAATATTTCTAACAATAATGTTTATTTTTTATCTTATATAAAGAGTCATTGGTTCATCTCATCATCACTACATTTAATCTCGAAATTTCAATGGCTTCCTCATCACGATCTTTTCCTTTGTCAGACTTAAATTCTTCATCTTATTCATGATGCTCCTCATTAGCCTTGTTGATTCAGCATAGTATTTATTATGTAATGTTTTATTTTGGTTTATTGATAAAAATGTTTAGTAAATTAATTTTTTTAATGTATACAATATTGTAAACAATATAATGGAGCTTATCAATTGATGCATTTATTTATAGAGGTGAAAACATAGGAAAATTTAATTTTTTTAAAATTAAAGTTCATTTTGGGACCAAAAAACAATGGCTTAATGGCTTTTAATGTCAAGGGGTGTGCATAAATATATATATATATATATATATATATATATATATATATATATATATATATATTTTAAATTGAATTTAAAAATTAGTTTTTGGGACTTTTTTTTAGCCAAACAGGCCCTTAACCCAATTCTGAGCTAAGGGCTACAGTGGATTGGGCCGAAAAAAGGAAAATAGGTGAGCCCGTTGAAACAACCCAATCGCATGCGGGCCCATGACTCTCTAATTGGGTCGCTAAAACTAATCCGCGATTGCCAAAATTTGGGTGAGCCCGTTGAAACAACCCAATCGCCAAATTTGGCTCAAAATTACCAAAAACCTCTTGCCAATGGAGCTAATGCTAGCTCAGAATTTTATTAATTTTATTTCAAGCTTGTGACTAGCTTTAGCTCAAGATTACACTTTTATTTTGAGTTTTAAAATATCATTTTAGTCCTTAACATTATGATTTACTCAAAAAAGACTCAAAAGTAATTTTGTTCCAAAGTACCACGTATCAGGCCATCTACACTAGCCTTTCCGGATTTTGCCTCTTTAAAAATGCCACATCAGCTTTTCCAAGAGCCACATTAGCAATTCCAAGAGCCACGTCAGCAGTTTTTGCTCTCCAGAAACATGCACTCCATCAGGCTCTCCGAATTTTCGCTCTAAAAAAATAATAATAATAAAAAATTAAAATTAAAATTTTTTTTTTAACTTTTCCTAAACTGCTATATTTTTAAAATTTGAAAGAAAAAAATGACTATATTTTTAAATTTTGATTAAAAATAAATAAGGATTACAAAATAAGGATTAAAAATAATGAATTGCAATAAGAAAATAAGGATTACAATTTAAAGCAAAAAAAATAAATAAAAAATAAACAAATTTTAAGGAAAAAAAACAAAAGCTTTTTCAATTTATTTTTGACCCAAATAAATTTTTTTAAGGATTACAAAATAAGGATTAAAAATAATGAATTGGAATAAGAAAATAAGGATTACAATTTAAAGCAAAAAAAAAAAAAAAAAAAAAAAAAAACAAACAAATTTTAAGGAAAAAAGACAAAAGCTTTTTCAATTTATTTTTGGCCCAAATAATTTTTTTTTTTAAGGATTACAAAATAAGGATTAAAAGTAATGAATTGGAATAAGAAAATAAGGATTACAATTTAAAGCAAAAAAAAAAAACAAACAAACAAATTTTAAGGAAAAAAAACAAAAGCTTTTTCAATTTATTTTTGGCCCAAATAATTTTTTTTTTAAGGATTACAAAATAAGGATTAAAAATAATGAATTGGAATAAGAAAATAAGGATTACAATTTAAAGCAAAAAAAAAAAAAAAAATTAAAGCAAAAAAAAGAAAGCAAAAGTTTTTTGAATTTATTTTTGGCCCAAATAAATTTTTTTTTCAATAAATAGTGCCTAAACAATATATATATATTTTAATGAATTTTATTTTAATTTTTTTTTCCTAAAAGGAGCTAAAAATAACCTATTTTTAGGTTTAAAAAAAAAAAAAAAAAATTATGCCAAACAGTGCCTTGTTTGGAGCACTGTGCTTAACTGGCTAATAAGACAAAATAGCGGCAGCCCAAAACGGCGCCGTTTTGATGCAACAAAAAACAAAAAAAAAAATTCAGCGATCGCGGGTCGGCTCGCTGCAGACTGCGACCCGCCTCGCGATCACTAGTGGGCCCCAAGACTTATAGCTAGCCCGCTGGACTTCAAACAGTCCATTTGCTCGCTGAAATTGGGCTCTAAAGAGCCTGTTGCGAATGCTCTCACTGGATTCACTGGTGCATGTTGAGAAGTTGGACATCATGATCCCCTCAAGACAATGAATTCGGATTCCTTCCTCTAAAAGGATCTTGACATCTTGTGTAACACAACTACATTACTGTAGAACACAGTTACGTCCCAATGCAATATAGTTGCGTCACAAAATACAGCACACATGTAACCAGGGGGAGCTAGGATTTCCTTTATATATAAATATGTAAATAAAATAAAATAAAAACCCTACCCTGAACACACACTAGCTCCGCCCTTGCATGTAATAATTATTAAAAAATATATACAATATTAAATCCGTTTATAGCATAACTATCTTCCAGTTGGAAATGTTGTCGTGGTGAGCATTTCCAACTGGAAGAGTGATATGCAGATAAGGTGCAATCATAAAGCAATACGTGGCTTCATCAAAGGAAGCCATTTGGTACAAGTAAGGATATGTATCGGCCAAAGAGGGAAGTAGTTACATCCAATTGGAATGACATGTGACAAAATAAAAGGGAATCTCCATTCTCCGAACATATAAAAAAACTCCTATTTTCATTTACTCTTCATTTCAGTTAATGCACTTTATATTTTCTTAGTGTAATTTTACTTTTCAAGTACTTTAATTTCCCACATATGTATTTCAATTCCTTTAATTTCCCGCATTTGTACTTCAGTTCCTAGTTTAATAAATTTCAGACTTTCAATTAAGTTCATTTCAATATTCCACCAGCACTTTCAATAAGCATTTCCACCTTTCTCATTCTATTTTTTCATTCCCGAAATCCTTTTCCACAAAGATAAAAAAAAAACCTAGCGATAGCAGTCATTCGAAACTCTCCACAATTGTCTGATTTCCAAGTCTCTCAAGGCCAGATTTGGAGTATAATTTGACATATTCCATCTCCATTAGATTCTTGAGAATTCCTTCCACACCTGCCCCTTCCACCTTTTCACTTGGCCAAACAATATCAAAGTACAATATCCATCCAATACATCACACTAAATTACAATGTTATAATACTATTGAATACAAACTTTAACACCACTAAAGAGAGAATTCAATACATTTAAATACATATTATATTGTCAAATAAAAGTTATACTCCGAATTACTTTCAGAGCAAAGAATAGAGTGTTGAATTTGATATTAGAGAAAATTTAATTCAATGGAATGGATAATTGTTCTTCCAACTTTATTGTATTCGGTATTTAAAGTAGGATTCAAAGTTGCAAAGAGTAGAGAATCCATATTAGTGGATGACGTACATGTACTTTTTCGTACACAATCTTTGCGTGATGGGACGACAAACAAAAAATTCTCCTGAGCCCACCTATCACCCTTTGAAATTCCAAAGTGGCATTCACATTATAAAATACCGGATCATCCATCCACGTATTCTGTTTTGACTTGTGAGTTGTCACATTCGGTTTTAGATAAATATCGTAAATATCCCCATGCCGACATCCAAATCTCCACGTCCGCGATTCCCGCGTCATTCTCCAAACTTGAGGGTAATTTCGTAATTACATCACATCACATCTCTGGTGCCACTTCGCATCTAACGTGCTTGCTTTCTAATCATGGATCGTCTCTTCCTTCTTAAATGAACATAATTGCTATAAACAGTCCACGCACTCTCTCTCGCGCGCGCGTTGTGAAAAGATTTTAAGGGTGGTTTGTCTCCGTTTTCATTGTCACTCTGTTGTTCTTTCTTCTCTCTCTCTAGACAAGATGGAGAAACCTCTGATCAGAGCAGAAAACAGCGGTAATGGTGGTGGAAGTTCCCGTGGACGGAGAGATCGGCCGGCGATGTTCAAACGGAGGTCAGACGCCATCGCTTACGGTTCTCGTTATCAGAGGGCGGCGGCACTCGTTGATCTGGTCACTCTACTTCCCATTTGTCACTTACTTCATTGATTCATATATGTTTAGATATTCTTATGATTAGTTTTTACTTTGAAACTCTTTGCTTCTTATGATTTTTTTATTTTTATTTTTTATTACTGATTCGTGAAATTATATCCCCATTTTACTGATTTTGAAGATATGAATCAAATGTTTTTAGCATAAATTATGGTAATAGAAGATATGGTTCATGTAACGGACAAATTGGGTTTAATTGAAATAGTTCCAGAAATATGATTAGACTATTTCTACTAACTTATTTCACAATTAGTAGGTAGATTACATGGCAAAAAACAACAGATTGGATTGTGGGATTCACTAGAATTCCTTTCTGAGTTATACCACAAGGTAGTTCTTGACAAGGAAAAAGTCACCGAAGTTAGCAAGTTGCATTGTAACCATCGTTTAGTCTGACATAATCTCCTCTATAGGAAGTCACAACTATCGAACTCATTGTAATAGTTAGCGAAGTGGTTATCGGTATCTCATACCTTGGGGTGATTCCTATGTAAGCTATGCTAACACGAAGGGTAGATTTGGGTGGATCTCAGAGATCTCATCAATTTAGCAATAAATTCTTGCAATTTCTTTTGAGCTAGCTTGAAATTCCATAGATGGGGATTAATCTCGTTGACAAGCATATCTGGAAATGGAACTCCTCCATGAGGAATCAGAGGTTTGTTTAACCCAACTTTCGAAATAGTGGGATAGGACCAAGCATATGGTCTGTGCCTAGAACATGATCCTCATCGACATTATAGAAGGGTTGTTTATTTATAGTTTGTAGTACCAAAGTGAAGGTATGCAACTCAATATAACCCAGTCTACACATGATTCAACTGATAGCTCATTCTAGATGTGAAGTCCATTTCTAACCCAACTGTCGAATTGGTGGCATAGGGCCAAGCATATCTGGTCTCTGCCTAGCACATGATCCTCATCCACATCGTAGAATGGTTGTCTATTTATAGTCAGTGGTGCCAAAGGTGAAGGTATGCAACTCAATATGACTCTTTGCATCTACCAAAGGCCAAGGTATGAAGCTTTCATGCAATATAACTCTTTGCGTTCAGCAAAGGCCAAGTGTTCAGGGATGGACCCATGGTATGCCCAGGGGGGCAATTGCCCCCCTGATTTTTTTTTCCTTCACTATTTTACCCTACTATTTTTGTCATTTTGATATATATACTTACTAAATATTACCTTTGACCCCATTAAATTATTAAAAAAATTCAATATTGCCCCCCCTCGCTTGAGTTTATGAGTTCGTCCCTGCAAGTGTTCACACTTTTTGCAACATGGTTATAAGTTTAGCCTTTGCATTGGTTTATGTTAACAACCATCTACTCCAAAAGCTTGAGCTATTAGAGAGGGTGTAACTTAAATACATAAATCCTTCATTAGTTCAGCAACAGCTATTTATTTCTTACTTCTTAAGTTGCCTAATACGCACTACTAAGTGTGTGAGTTGTGTAGCGGAATAGAATGTGGAAAGTTGAGTTTTAAAAACTGTTTTAGAGAGGAATTAATCACGTGTTTCTTATTCCAATTTACTCTACTAAAATTACCGTTTATTTAAACAATCACACACAAATTGAAAGCAAGTAAAGTTTAGAGTGACAGCGGATTTTTAGCGAGGAAACCAATTGGAAAATCTCGAGGTTTTGTGCGCCATCCCAAGCATAAAACGATCCACTATGTATGAAGCAAAGTACACTGAACTTTGACTCAGACTCAAACCCCTTCACTCTACCAAGACTCAATCCGCTGAATTTCCCTGACTTTGCGACTTCCGTCTAACAACTCTCGACTTTAGACTTATGCCTCGAACCTTGTAGAAGGATTGCTGGTAGACAACATTCCGCAAGCGCCTTGATCCATTCAAAGTGTGATCGGAAATTCTTCTTCGAATCTGGATTTGTTGTAGAAGAAATAAAATATGCTTTCTTCGATCGTTGTAGATGTAATCTTCAATAGACTTGAACACGATCAGGATTTGAATAACACCCTAATTCACTCGTGTGTATATAGTGTGTATGTTCTTAAAAATCTCACAATAAGGCTCTTAATGAAAACCAGAATTCTATGCAAAAAGCAACACAACCCTAAGTGAGAAAATATGTTAATATATAGACTTTTGAAACCCTAATTGTACTTGGAAAAAAGTCAATTTCGTGCATAAGGTTTTAGAAGAAAGTCTATACATAATAGGAAGTAAAAACAGAGTAGGAAACAAAGTAACCAAAAACTGGTGTAGAACTTGAACCGGTTCAAGTTGGCCAGTGTGTTATTTTAAAAAAGAAGTATTAACACTTGAACCGGTTCAGCTTTGAGTTGATTCAAGTTGGCCAGTGTGTTATTTTAAAAACGAAGTATTAACACTTGAATCGGTTCAACTTCCCTTGAACCGGTTCAAGTTGGCCAGACTTGAACTGAAGGCTTTTACACTTAGAAAAATTTCGGCAACGCTTATTTTTGAAAACATGCAATGCTTGCAAGTGTCCTTACCTTCTAACTTAACTTCCAAAGGTGGTGTTCTTACTTTTTTCAAAGTTGTCAAGCTATTGATCACTAACAACTATTCTGCTTCCGATCTTGAATTTGAAATTAAAACTCGATCGGACTTGTTTTGACAACGAAATTCGCCAAATACAAATTTTATATCTCACAAAGTGTGCAAGTTAAACTACTTGTAGTAGACCTTAATTTGCAGATACAATCCAATTTGCATCAGCACATCTTCAATCCTCTTATGGCCATAATCTGAGAATAATAGACCCTTTGAGGTTGTTTGTTTTATGAATTATGATAACTGAAACATTTTTCAAAACACATTGAAGGTGTGTTCGTATGCAGGGCATGCATAAATTGGCTGATGTCACTTGTGGCATATGTGACTTTTGAATAGGTCAGAATTAGGTATATTAATTTCAATTCTAACTGCTTATACTTTTAGCATTCTCAGGCATTTACCCATGTTTGTCAGTCAATTAGTTTAGGAGGAAGTCTATATGTTAACTTTCTAATTTCTAAATAATATTTATGAAATATATATATATATATATATATATTTGATAAGTAATAATTGAATAAAAAGGCCGTTCAAGAGAGGAACGCGTCCCTTATATAAAAGTGGAACCGGGGTTTAAGGCCCCAAAGAATCCAAAAAAATGATAAATCATCGGGAGAGGAACAGGACTTCCTTTTCACGTAACTGAAAAGAGAGCGAATGATGTGAAGTTTCAGAATCACCATGGATGACTCTTTCCCTTCGAAAATTTCTACTATTCCTCTCCTTCCATATGCACCACCAAACACAACGTGGTACAATTCTCCAGTAATCGTGAACACGACTTCGCACACGGCATCTTCTCCAAGCATGAATCAAATCCTTAGGATAACGAGGCATAACCCAGCGCATACCAAACAGATAAAAGATAAGATTCCAACAGTCGCTCGCCATAGGACAATGCATGAGAATATGATCAACTGACTCACCATCTTGTTTGCATAGGCAACACCAGTTAACAAAACAGTTGCCCCTTTTCCTTAGATTATCAATCGTTAGGATCTTACCCCATACAGCGGTCCAAACAAAGAATGCCACCCTAGTTGGAGCCATAGAATGCCAGATGGTCTTCCACAGAAAATCAACGATATCAAAATCAGAAAGACATAAGAATAAGGATCGAACTTCGAAACTACCATGGGAAGAGGGAATCCATGTCAGATCGTCACTACCTCTGCCAACTGCCTCTTGTTGATACAACAAATCCAGAAAAACACATACCTCGTCCAACTCCCAATCTTGAAAAGAACGTTGAAAGTGCACGTCCCACATAATCCCACTACTATCAAGCTGATAACAGTCAGCTATGTAGGTATGTCTATCAACTGCAATACTGTATAATATGGGAAATGAACTAGATAAAGGCCGGTCTTCACACCAAAGATCCTCCCAAAAGCAAACACATCTGCCATCGCAAACTTTGAATCTGATGTGGGTAGAAAAAACATCCCATTCCTTTCGAATGGATTTCCACGCCCTATTCCTCCCATGAGAGAAACCGGACGGGTAGACCAACCACCATTCTTTTCCCTATACTGGCATGAAACAAGCCTTTGCCAAGGGCGATGTCTTTCCCTCCCGTACCTCCATAGCCATTTTCCCAAAAGAGCTTGATTAAAGGGAACCAGTCTTCTGATACCAAGACCACTAAATTTCATTGGCTTGCAAACTTGTTCTCAATTGACAAGGTGATACTTAAACTCTTCTCCCCTTTCGCCCCAAATGAAATCCTTTTGAATTTTTTCAATCCTAGCAGCAACAGAGCATGGAATTTGGAACATAGATAAAAAATATGTGGGAAGTAGATAAAAAATATGTGGGAAGGCTCGATAGAGTGCTCTTTATAAGCGTAACTTTTCCCCCCTTAGACAAGTATTGCTTTTTCATCCTGCCAATCTCTTCACATACCGATCAATCACAAGGTACCACTGTTCTAAAGGAGACCCCTAAAGGCAAACGTTAATACAGAATGGGAAAAGAACTCACCTTACACCCAAGGACTGCAGCTAAAGATGAAATATCCTAAACATCCCCAACCGGAACAAGCACACTTTTAGCCACATTGACCTTCAGACCAGAAACAGCCTGAAAACAGGCCAAGATGCACCTCAAATATCTAAGCTGAGACACATCAGCATCACAGAAAACCAGGGTGTCATCCACAAAAAGTAAATGAGAGACCTCCATCTGATGGACAGGATCTCTTCCCCCCATAAAGCCCTTAATAAGATCAAGATCCTCTGCCCTTCGCAAAGTCTGCTTAATCCCTCTATAACAATAAGAAAAAGGAAAGACGACAGGGGATCTCCTTGTCTTAAGCCCCGAGTACACCCAGAGAAACCAGCAGGAGACCCTTTCACAAAAACAGAGAACTTGACAGACGAGAGACATGTCTCAATCCATATCC